GGACGGAGGAATCGAACATGAGTCGGCCAATATCTAAAATAATTTTTTTTAGTTTGGATGTTATATTTGGGTATACCAGGTCTGGATATTTTAATGCTTATTTTCTCTGTGCAAAGATATCTCCTGTGTATACAAATTTCTTCTTCATAGAAGGGCACCACTCTTTTAGAATTAGGGCTATTTTCAATATACTACTTCTTTTTAAGTCAATTGCTTTTATAAAAGGCCTTTTGTCAAAATAAGCACATTTTGAGGTACTCAAAGTTATGGATTTGACATAACTTTGTTTTTTTTATAATTTATTTATTGAATCACTGTGGGAAAAGTTACAGAGCTTTCAGGTTTAGGTCTCAGTCATGTAAATATCAAACACATTTCCCTTTACCAATACTTATTTGTAACCGCGAACCCCAATAGAACCCCACCTCCCACCCCTCCCAATTCCTGTGAGGCAGATGAGTTCTAGTTAACACTCTATCAACTTTTGACTACATTCATTGTTTCGATAAAAGATGCACCATTATTATTTAGAGTTTACGACCCCCCCTCCCCGCCCAATCAGACATGCTGAAAAAGCGTTGTGAAATGATTTGCTTTCTACAGCTGGGTTTTAAGAGTTAAATGATGTCGCGCGGCCGCTATTGCGGGTGCGCAGTTTTGGATTTCTGCTATTTTACTTATTAACCCTGGAAGTATTTCTATTAAAAGTTAGATAGTTAAGAGATTGGTTTCTGTGCTCTGGAGTCGTGGCCGTGCCAGAGAGCTGCTCGTGGGGGGCAACTGGTGACCTCAGTAGGGAGTGAAGGACGGACCGGAACGCCCCCCTTCCCATGAGGTCCCTGCCGCCCCCACCCCCGGCTCAAACCTGCTGTCCATGAGGCTCCCATGTGGCCGCCATCTTTCTTTCCAGAGAGGAGAGGGCGACTAGGGCAACACCCTTTCCCCTCTGGGCAGGCATGCTGGCGCGGTTTAACACATAGTCCACTCACTTTTCTGTTCCAAACGGCTGGTTTTCTGCGTTAAGTCCTTGTGCTTCTGGAGCCGTGGCCGTGCCGGAAAGCAGCTCGTGGGGGGCAACTGGTGACCTTGGTAGGGTGTGAAGGACAGACCGGAACGCCCCCCTTCCCATGAGGTCCCTGCCGCCCCCACCCCCGGCTCAAACCTGCTGTCCACAAGGCTCCCGTGCGGCCACCAACTTTCTTTCCAGAGAGCTTGACATAACTTTGATGGAACATAACAGTCCTTAACAAATATAGTAAAGTTATTTAAGTAAGCCCAAACCTTCCAAAATTTGATTATTGTTGCTTTATAATTGTATTATATATTCTCAGAATAAGTTCTTTGTTACATAGATTCAGTGAATATTTACACCACATCTGTTATATGCAAGGCAGACGCCCTACCCGCCGTGCTATGGAGCAATAGCACAGTGGGTAGGGCGTTTGCCTTACAAGCGGCCAACATGGCCGACCGGAGTTCGATTCCTCCGCCCCTCTTGGAGAGCCTGGCAAGCTACCGAGAGTATTCGATATGCCAGACACAGTAACAAGAAAGTCTCCAATGGAGATGTTACTGGGCCCGCTCGAGCAAATCGACGATCAATGGGAGGGCCTGTTATATACTTTTAATTTTCTTGTATATCTTCATAAATGAGATTTGATATTAACATTTCTTGAAGCCAAATTTCATTTGTTTTTCTTTTATTATTATAGATTTTGATACTGTCTAAGAAAACATGGAGCAAGCCATCATCTCAAATGTTTTCTTATGTTTTAAACTAGAAGTGTTTATACACTTAGTATATGAGGCTTATGAAATTCTTTCTTTTGTCTAAAGCATAATATAGGTATGAAGTTTATCTGTTGTAGATGATTGAACAATGTGTTAAAAATAGTTTCCTTCTTTCATTGAATACTTTGTTACCTTTGGTGAAAATCAACTCAGAACACAAAAAATCATGGGTTATATCAGTTTACACTTATTTACAGATGTCTTAATCTTTGATTAAGTTGGATAATCTTATCAAATTATGCAATATTAATTACTGTGGCTATTTAGTTTAAATAGAATTTATGGAGTAAAACTTCTCAGGTTTTGTTATTTTGATGCTTGTTTCTGTTATTCTACAACCTTCGAATATCTATATAAATATGGGTCAGTTTATAATTTTTTTAAACGGTCTACTGAGATTTCAGTTGGGATTATCTTTATAGTATAGACTGATTTTCTCATTTTTATATTTATAAATACAGCTTAAAATTTTCCATTTGTATAGGATTTCTTTAGTTGACTTAAACATTTTATTCAGTTGACTATGCAAGTCTTCCACTCTTCTGTTGAATATATGACTATCTTTGGTACTTTATATTTAATGGTATTCTAAGTGGTAGAATTAATTTAAAAATATTTTCAAAGGGGTATGGTGCTGCCCAAAGGTTAATCTGTACCTGTGAGGCGAGTGCATCAGCAGCCTTATGGCACCTTCAGACTTCGAGATACCCCAAAATTGCCGCTGTGCCTTTGGCCAGACCCCCAAAACTTGGAGCAAAGTTTACTAAGAAAGTAAACGGCCAAAAGTTAGGTATGTGGGAGACACACATACAAACCACCTCCAGCTTAGCTATATGATTGGAGGCATTGCCACTCTAGTTCCTGATAGAATGGCTTAACGGCCATAATCTCAGAGACTCAGAAACAAATCTCGAAAACCAATGGCTTTTGGCAGAAATGCATCCGATCCCTGCAGTAGACTACTGGTGCCAGGCCACCCCAGGTGGGAATAGGTTTCGTGCCTTGGCCTGTTCCCCCTGGCGGCCCAGTGGCCGCCATCCTCCAGAAGCCACTGGACAGTCAGGTTTGGGCCCACAGTGACGAGACATGCAGGGCCTCATGGGATGGAGGTGGAGCCAGCCCTTTCCTACCCATCCCAACGAGACCCCGAGTTGCCACTCACGAATGGCCTCTTTGGCTCCTGATCAAGCTGCTTAATGGCCATGACCCCAGAGACTCAGAAACGAATCTCGAAACCCAGCAGCTTTTGACAGAAATGTGTCCGGATTCTGCAGTAGGTTACTGTTGCTGAGCCACCCCAGGGAGGAAAGGGTGCTGTCCCTCTGCCTGCTCCCCCTAGGCAGATCGGTGGCCGTCATCTTCCAGAGGCCATTGGACTGTCAGGTTTTGGCCCAGTTTGATGAGACACGTGGGACCTCACAGGATGGGGATGGAGCAGAGCTGCGCTTTCCTCCCCACTCCAACGAGACCCCAAGTCACCACCCACGAACAGCCTCTCTGGCTTCTGATCAAGCTGCTTAGCAGACATGATACAAGAGACTCAGGAACAAATCTCAGAACCCAGCAGGTTTGGGCAGAAATCCCTCCAGATTTAATTGTTAAAATTTCAGAATTTTAAAATTGTGCAGCCACTACTGCAGCCTCATGACATCATATGTTATTCATAACCATCAATAGGAAACAAATTGTCTACTATTGCCTTTTTGGCAGATCTGAATGTTGGGGTAAAATCCTAAATAATAATGGTGGGTCTGGTGTTGAAATATTGAACGTAATCAAAGTAGAGAGAGAGTAATGTGGAAATCATCTGCCCTATAGGTAGGGGGAGGGTATAGAGTGGGGGTATACTGGGTTTTTTGTTGGTGGAGAATGGGCACTGGTGAAGGTATGGGTGTTTCATTGTATGACCGAGACTTAAACCTCAACGCTTTGTAACTGCTCTCATGGTGATTCAATAAATAAAATTATAAACAATGCGGAAAAAAGTAAGGTGCAGTTCATGCCCAATTCGATCAGCCTAATCAGTGGCTGAATAAATAGCAGTATTCCTACATAAAAAAATAAATAAATAAATATTTTTTCAAAAATTTTGTGATATGAAAATACACAGGTTTTATATTGATCTGTACAATGACCTTGCTAAAAATATTATTATAACGAATGCCATCTGTGTACAAGTGGATTTTTTATTTTTTAGATGGAAATATTTATTTTTTATGGATATACATATATATAAAAGCACACAAGGCTCAACCTTTAACATGTTAGTGATCTCTTATCGAAGGGATTAATGGCCCCTGGTGACATACAACAATATTCACCCTCTTTGCTCTAAGGAAACTTTTTTGTAGCATTTTCAGTGGTTTTCCATAACAAACAATAAAAATAAATTATTTTGGTTCTGCTTTGGGACAGGGGTTGGGGTTTGAGATGGAAACATCCAAAATATAGTGGTGGAAGGTGTAATGATGGTGGGATTGCTGTTTGAATATTAATGTAACCAAATGTAGTGAACTACTTTATAAAATAAAAAAATTAAAATATTCAGTAGAATGCCAATTATTTGCATATGTTTGGGCTACTGATCTCATATTTAACTATATCCACTTCCTCTATGGCACCTAATTTTTGGTTTACGTTTAAGGCACTTTAAGAAATGGGTTTGGGTTACCTTGGCAGTGTGTGTGTGTGTATGTGTGTATATATATATACATGTATATATGTGTATGTATATATATATATATATATAACCATTAACATCCTGTACTGTCTGATGATCAGCTCCTTGTTCCCTCTGTGGATTTTTTTATGGGGGCGTCCACCCCCAGCAATGCTCAGGGATCACTCCTGGAGGAGCTGGGGGATAACCGTGTGGTGCCAGGATCCAACTAGGTCGGCCATGTGCAAGGCATGTGCCTTAAGTCACATACTGTCTCCTAGCTCTCAAAAAAAATAAAATAACATAAAATAAAAAAAGTCTTACGTTAACCAGACCCACTTCTTTCAAAGCAGAAGTCACCGAAATGGCAGGTCTCATTTGTTGCTTTGATGGCGAGCTGCCTGTGTCACACTGACCCAAAGGCAGTATCCCATCAGAACTCTTCAGTCCTTACGTGAACCACTGCTCTTCCCAGACTTTCTTTTCTCTCTCATATGCCTCTTTCCTCTTTCGCTCTAATTGCTTTTTAGTATAGCGGCAGTGTATTTGCTTGGGCCTTAAGTATTTCTGTTTTTTTACACCTCGCATCAGCCTCCTCATTTCTTTCTTGTCCTTCAGAACCATTAGCTTTTTTCTTTTCACCACAAAGTTTGGCTCTAAGCTGTTGTAGTTCATTGAAATTTTGCAGTCTTATTTGTCTTAGCCTTGCCAGATAAACCTTATGACATTCAGCTCGGGCTTTATTCTGCCTTGCTTCATGTTTTCGCTGGAGAAACTCTTTCACTTGCTGATCTCTTTCCACATCTATGTGTCCCCTCTGCTATTCTGAAAGTCTTTGGTCACAAATTTCTTTCCATTTGGCTTCACTATCTGCCACTCATTGCTCCAGTTGATCAAAAATAGCATGATAACGCTCATACTTTCCTCAAGAAGAACCAGATGGAGACACAACACCTCCAACGCCAAAAAAGGAAGGCTTTACTTCACTACTTCCACCAGCACATAGCACAATTCTCCATCCTTGTTCTCTGGCCCTATTTATTCTCTCCAACCTCTCTTTGTCTTGCCTTTTCATCTTCAGCCCTCAAGAAACTAATCTGGTCTTTCGAGTTCTTCTGCTTTTCAATTAATTCCAACTCTTTCTTTCTTGGTGTTTCCTCAAACATCTTCCTCCTTTCTTCTCCAGGATTCATTTTCTTCAATGCAGCCTGAGGGCCCAGTTTATATTTTTGAAGTGGTTTCTTTTCATTTAACTTTTTATCCCCATTTTTCTTATATAGTAAAGATACTCCATATTTATCAACAGGTTTTGAAATTTTCTGAGCAGACATTCTCCAAGCATAACTTTGTCCTGAAGCTGGTCTTTTAGCTGGCAGGGCTTTCAACCTGGAATACGGTTTTAGACAAAATTGTTCTGCAATAAGCTGAGGCGAAAGGAACTTCTCTATGCATTTGGCTATGAAACCTTTCTCCAATATGGAGTTGACTGATGGTCTTTCCCTAGGATTTCTTTTAAGTAACTGAGAAAGCAAATTGCGGAGGTCAGAAGAATTGTGCAAAGACACAGGAGGACAAGATCCAGATATTATCTTCAGTACCAGGTTTTTCATACTGCCAGCTTCAAATGCATATTTAAGAGTACACATCTCATACAGAACACAACCAAGAGCCCAAATGTCACTTTTATTATTATAAGGCTTATTTTCACAGATTTCAGGTGATAAGGAGTAGGGAGTTCCTATACAAGTTTGAGCCAGATCTACAGCACTATTGAGAATTCTAGCAATTCCAAAATCTCCCAGTTGTACAGTCCCATCTTTGGTTAAAAATATATTCTGTGATTTTATGTCTCGATGAAGAATTTTTCTATCATGAACATGTTTCAGGGCCAAACATATCTGTACAAACCAGTCCAAGATCCTCTTGAAACAAAATGCCTCTCTGAGCATTTATTCGTTTCAACAGATTCCCTCCTTCACAGTAATCCATCACTATATAAAGACAGCCATTTCCTTGAAATGATTCTTTATACTGGACAATATTTGGATGCTTCATGTCTGCCAACAAATCAATTTCTCTCATGGATTCTTCTCTTTCTTTATTGGATATTCTAGAGATGCTAATTTCCTTGATAGCATAATGCCGTCCATCTTCAGTAGATTTGACAAGAATAGCCTTTCCAAAGTAACCTTCTCCTATCTTCTGTAGTCTAGCATACTTCTCCATGGTTCTTCCCTAAGGCATCTCCATGGCACAGGACGTTAGTAGGAGTAACGGTAGCGATCCATAAGCTTCAGACAAGGGTTAGGAGTTTAGAAGTATTCCTAGGGGATTTATCGAGGCAGAAGCACCTTCCCGCATTTCAAAAATGACATCCTGAAAGGAAAAACCAGGTCTTCTGAAGCAGCAGCAGCAACCACGGTACAGTGTGAAAGCGGGGCACTGAGACACCCTGACACCAGCCTTTGTTTAAACCCTCAGGCTTGACTCTGTCTGGTCCCCGGCAACGCCCCACGAGACAAGTCCACACCACCAGGGCGAAACAAACTGGTTTCAGAGCCTCTAGGAAAAGGCAGGCGGCAGGGGGAGTGAAAGGGTTACCGCCTCTCCAACTGGACGCGGAGTCTGCCAGTAGCCTCAGCGGGGCGGAGGACAGAGATCTGCGGGACTGCGAGGCCACCTGTCTAGCCCGCTTTCCTGCCTGCCAACGCCAGCTCTAGATTGCTGGCTGGACGGAGAACCTGGGACTCGCGGCTACCCACTCTGCATCTCAGCGCCCCAGGAACCCCGGAGCGCGCGCTGAGAAAGGGGATAAGTGGATTTTTTAGATTAAAAAAATAAACAATCATCTAGAGAGAAAGGTCTACAATTACACAAAAATGTCAGAACTTAGACATATATGCATGACCGTTTTTATCATAAAAATCTAGTTTAATATTAGAAAATAGCTCAGGGGTCAGAATGGTACCACAGTGGGTAGATGGCTTCCGTTAGCTTCAGGTTCATTTTTTTGCACACCATATAGTCGCTTGAGCATTGCTCCCAATGACCACGGAGCATTGAGGAAGAAATAGTCTGTGAAGGCTGATGGATGTGGCCTAGAAAATAAAAAAAAATAAATTAGTAAACAAGAAAATACCTAACTAAACAAATGAAGATAAATACGATAAAGTTAACATTACTTTTTTGCAATTAAACCATTTAAAAATATTTTTAATCTTCTTATTAGGATTTCTCTTAAAATCCTCATACAAGAAATTCATACTTTTTTTTTCTTTTTTTCTGTGCTTTTTGGGTCACACCTGGCGATGCACAGGTGTTACTCCTTGCTCTGCACTCAGGAATTACCCCTGGTGGTGCTCAGGGGACCATATGGGATGCTGGGAATAGAACCTGGGTCGACCGTGTGCAAGGCAAACACTCTACCCTCTGTGCTATTGTTCCAGCCCCAAGGAATTAATACTTTTCTATGGGGGCATTATCTTTCTAGGTTTGGGCTTATTTTTGAAACTTTAATATAAAATATCACGTTTACTGAGATCTTAAATATAAAAAAAATATCTATTGGCCAGTATATTCAATTAAAGAGCAGTAAACTTTTTATCCCTTACCATAACCTGAAGTGGTAGATTTATTACCATGGATTCATTTTACAAATTAACAACTATGTACAGAAAAATTAATTATTTTCTTACAAAGACAGATATGAACTTTCACTTGTATTTGATACAGGTATACCCAATTAAAAACTCTATGCCTTTAATTTATTCTACATGTCATATTCCAGAAGATAAATAATTAAGATTAATCTAAACTGTTTTAAGATTGATGCAAGTCTTTTAAATGTATATTTCATTTTTATTCTTAAGTACTATAAAAAATCTTGCTATTTTAAATAAGTAGATCAAGAGTTAAGGAAATAAATTGGATGTGGTAGGTTTGCAAAAGAGGATTGAAAAAGAGGCACTTCTCCTTTTATTAGATTAGTTTCTGTTAGGGTTTTTATAACAACTCTGGAAAAAAAACTAAGAAAAATCATCATTGTGTTAATCTATTTATAAAGACAAATTAGAATATTTTCCATCATATAAATTGCACAGGATGGGGCGGTAGCACAGTGGGTAGGGCATTTGCCTTGCACGCTGCCAGCCCGGCCAAGCCAGGCTCAATTCCTCTGCCCCTCTCGGAGAGCCTGGAAAGCTACCAAGAGTATCTCGTCTGCATAGCAAAGCCTGGCAAGCTACCTGTGACGTATTCAATATGCCAAACACAGTAACAGCAAGTGTCAAGATGGAGACGTTACTGGTCCTGCTCGAGCAAATCGATGAACAATGGGAGGACAGTGACAGTGATAAATTACACTTGTTTTTGTTAAAGGGTTTAAAGGTTAGCAAATACTTACAAGAATCTGTTTTCAAATAATATATTTGGTTTTACACACATAAAGCAATGGGAGAAAAAAAGTATCTCTTGTAAACTAAATAGAAATGTCCTAATATAGACTATTGTTTTTCCTAATCATTAAGATCAGGATAAACAAAAATTTACATAGTGAAGCTTCTATTTGACTGATACAACTTACAAAGTCCATTATTTTAGTCTTATTGCTTTATTTGAAAAGATGGTAATGGGCATATATGGGTTAATTAGGAATAAAATGGCATTTGATATAACATATAAGCATAAGCTAATGAAATCCATTAAATTTTTCTTTTGATTGGAAAATTCTTGATCACTTGACTTCCCGTTAATCACTGATTTGCTCAAGTGGGCGCCAGTAATGAGTCCATTCGTCCCTGTCGCGTGCTAGTGTAGCCCAATGGTGTCTGTTCATTCTAGAAACACGAAGAGCTGCAAGGAAAATTCTTTTTTTTTTATTTTTTAAAAAATTTTTATTAGTGAAACACCATGAGGTACAGTTGTAGACTTACAAATTTTTGTGCTTGGGTTTCAGTTATACAATGATCCAGTACCCATCCCTCCACCAGTGCCCATTCTCCATCATTTACATTTTTTTTTAAATTTTTTTTTGTTTCTTTCTTTTTTTTTTTTTACTGTTTTAGATTTACAATTTTTTGTGCTTGGGTTTCGATTATACAATGATCAGATACCCATCCCTCCACCAGTGCCCATTTTCCACCACCAGGGATAATATCCCCCCACCCCCATCCCCCCATCCCCACCTGCCTCTGTGGCAGGGCAATCCCCTGTGTTCTCTCTCTCCTTTTGGGTGTTGTGGTCTGCAAAAGAGGCATTGAGTGGCAAACATGTTCAGTCCATAGTCTACTTTCGACATGCATCTCCCCTCCTGGGAGGATCCTCCAAACACCCTTTATTTGGTGCTCCATTCTCTATCTGAACTGCCCTTTCCTCTAGGATACCCGGCTGGCCTCTAAGTTATGGAGTAATCCTCCTGGTGCTGATCTCAGCTATTCTTGGGTATTAATCTCATACTTTGTTACTTTATATCCCCCAGATGAATGCAATCTTTCTATGTCTATCCCTCTCTTTCTGACTCATTTTGCTTAGCATGATACTTTCCATGTTGTACCACGTGTATGAAAATTTCATGACTTCATCTTTTCTAAGAGCTACATAGTACTCCATTGTGTAGATGTACCAAAGTTTCTTTAACCAGTCATCTGTTCTTGGGCATTCAGGTTTCTTCCAGTTTCTGGCTATTGTAAAGAGTGCTGCAATGAACAAACAAGTGCAGATGGCACTTCAACTATACATTTTTGCCTCTCTGGGATATATTCCCAGGAGTGGTATTGCTGGGTCAAATGGGAGCTCAATTTCTAATTTTTTGAGAATCGTCCATACTGTTTTCCAGAAGGGCTGAACCAGTTGACATTTCCACCAACAGTGAAGGAGTGTCCCTTTCTCGCCACATCCACGCCAGCATCGGTTGCTTTTCCTCTTTTGAATGTGGGCCAGTCTCTGAGGTGTGAGATGGTACCTCATTGTGGTTTTGATCTGCATCTCCCTGATGATTAATGATGTAGAGCATTTTCTCATGTGCTTTTTTGCCATTCGGATTTCTTCTTTGAGAAAGATTCTGTTCATTTCATTGCCCCATTTTTGGATGGGGTTGGATGTTTTCTTTTTGTGGAATTTAACCAGTATTTTGTATATCCTGGATCTCAACCCCTTGTCAGATGTGTATTCAGTGAATATCCTTTCCCATTCTGTAGACTGTCTTTGTATTTTGGTCACTGTTTCTTTGGAGGTGCAGAAGCTTCTTAGTTTAAGATAGTCCCATTTATCTATCTCTGTTTTCACTTGCTCGGCCAGTGGCGTGGCATCTTTGAAGATACCATTAGCTTCAATGTCATGGAGGGTTTTGCCAACTTTATCTTCAATGTACCTTATGGTTTCTGGACTGATGTTGAGGTCTTTAATCCATTTTGATCTTACTTTTGTACATGGTGTTAGGCAGAGTTCTGAGCCTATTATTTTTGCATGTAGCCGTCCAGTGATGCCAACACAATTTGTTAAAGAGGCTTTCCTTACTCCACTTCACATTACTTGCACCTTTATCAAAGATTAGATGAGCATATGATTGAGGGGAGATGTCAGTGTATTCAACCCTGTTCCATTGGTCTGCAGTTCTGCCTTTGTTCCAGTACCATGCTGTTTTAATTATTACTGCTTTGTAGTACAGTTTGAAGTTAGGGAGGTTGATTCCTCCCATTTTCTTTTTCCCAAGAATTGCTTTAGCTATTCTTGTGGGCTTATTGTTCCATATAAATTTCAGGAGTGTTTGCTCCATTTCTTTGAAGAATGTCATGGGTATCCTTATAGGGATTGCATTGAATTTATACAATGCTTTTGGTAGTATTGCCATTTTGACAATGTTAAGTCTCCCGACCCATGAGCAGGGGATATCTTTCCATTTCCTCATGTCCTCTTTTATTTCCTGAAGTAGCGTTTTGTAGTTTTCTTTGTACAGGTCCTTTACTTCCTTGGTTAAGCTGATTCCTAGGTACTTGATTTTCTGGGGCACAATTGTGAACGGGATTGTTTTTTTCATGTTGCTTTCTTCTCTCTCACTGTTTGCGTATAGGAAAGCCATGGACTTTTGGGTATTGATTTTATAACCTGCAACTTTACTATACGTGTCTATTGTTTCTAGGAGTTTTTTGGTGGAGGTTGTTGGATTCTCTAAGTAGAGTGTCATATCATCTGCGAATCGTGAGAGCTTGATTTCTTCCTTTCCTACCCGAATGCCCTTAATATCTTTTTCTTGCCTAATCGCTATTGCAAGTACTTCCAG